ACCTTTGTCCCAACATTTTTTAGCATGTTGTAGGCATCGAATTCTAAATTCATTTCTAATTACAAATTACAATTAAGATGGTCAGTGCAAACATTGGAAGTCTTTGGAAGTTCTTTGTACTTTAAACAGTTAAATAAAGGTTCAGGAGACTTTTTTTTGCCTTTTTTTTGGCTAACTTTTAAAGAAATGGGGTTTGTATGATTGAACTCAAAATTTGGGTAAAACAAAAGAGAGTTTTCCATATTTTTTTTTGTACATTTTGAAAACGGAAAAAAAAACAACAATTTGAGAAAACACCCAAATATAGCAAAAAGAGTTTTACCTTAGGACCAGATGGAAAATTTAGAATATCACTAAAGCCAAAAAGCGTTCTTGTTTATATAAACTATGGCATATCAAGCCACAAGTTCTATGATTGCTACAGACCGTCCATTCATGGTGCAAAGCTTCTCAAAATTTGCTTTCAACTTTCTGAAATGCCCAATGAAAAGCTTGTTTGAAAAAAAAACTGTTCCAACCAATGTGCTCTCATAAAAACCAAGCTAAATCTCTCTGACATGCTCGTTTGGATGTAGCCTCTAATCACAGTGGCCTATGTCATCTAAAGTTTCTTCACATAACTAAAGTGGATGGAAACATGACTTAGTTATCTTTTTTCCCACCAACATTTCAAAAATGTGCATATCATTTCTGAAATGTTTGAATGGAAACCCAGCCAGTGTGTCAGACCTAAGGCAGTAATAAATGATTGTGCCAGTGTTGCCCAAACCTTTGCTGTGCTATGGCAGATAGTTACCTCCCTATGAGTTGTGGTATGGCCTTTCTACAAGTAAGTGGTTCTATGTTCCTATTTTGTCTATTTGTCCTTTTAGTAACGATTGTGGCAGGATATGTGCATCCTAAACTTTAAATGTCATTTAGATAGTTGTATTTAAGAATTTATGAAATGCAGGGTTCACCTTGATCAATAGGGTTAAATTAATACATTATTGTATAATGATACATAATGTACAATGCACATGTGCATATGATGATAACAACTATAGTTTGTCATTAAAGAAAAGTGTATTTTAAGCATTTACACATCTTTTGTCCTAGGGCCTGTAGACTCTTCTTGTCCATTGCTGTCCTTTGAAAGGCTCAGTTTAAAGAATATTGAACTAGTCATTTACAAATTCAGTTTTTTTTACAACATAACAATATTGAGTATTTGTGTACATACCACCGCTCTATTTGTCTGCTACTAAAACAGGTTACATGCTGTGAGAAAAAGTTCTATCCCATGATTTCCATGTCAAGCAAAGGATTAATTAGCCTTAATTCAGCGTTACACTGGTGGTGATCATGAGGGCGTTGCACATGCACATGACATGACATGCTGAGGAAGTTGAAGCATTCCAACTGTCCACAGTTGCAGTGGGGAGCTGCTTTCCATTGTCCTTAAACTGAGATGGTTCCACTGGCTTACAAATTCATCCACAGATCTGTTTATTCTTGGAAAGTAAACACGGTGAAGAGCCCTACTGTGAAGTACGTCAGTGCTATTTAAAACTCCAGTATTTTCCATAAAGAGGAAAAGGTCTTTAAAGTATGCTGACACCACCCTGTTTAGTTCTGCCCACAATCGTTCAATTCTTTGTTTATGTACACTACGTCCAACCATAAAACTTCCTCTGTTTGTCCCTCGATTCTCAATCATATAACGTGCAATGTCAATATTCTCACTACCAGCATCACCCCTGACATGATGCAGGAGTCCAAACAAACCAACAGCACCCTGGAAAAGCTGCAAAGCAGTTGATGCTCTGTTGTCTGTGCAACATCTCGGGTAGGTAATGCAGCGACTGTAGCCATCAACTCCTCCATGGAACACAAATCCCCATGGATTTAACTTGTGGTTTATGTCAACATGCCTGGAATAAAAAGAAATGAGTCCATCATAAACCACATTTGATGTACATCAAAATGTAACTTATTTGGTATTTTTCATACCAGATAGACTATTTCTGCTGTAAAACCTGACAAGCTGATCTTGTTTTAAAAAATCCAGGAAACCGACTGCCTTGAAAAAGGTGAGTAAATAGGACTATTTAGTCTTAACTTTAGGCTGATAGTTATATTTACTTACCTTTTTAAGGCAATTGGTTTCCTAGAATTTTAAGTAAGATCAACTTGTCAGGATTTACAGTGCAGTAATAAAACTGTTACAACTCCAGATACATTGGATAGAAGTGTTTAATATTAATAAAATCAAAGAATATGAATTCTATGCAAAGGTGTAGAAAAAAATAATATAAATAATAATATCAAATATTTGGAATTCATCATAATAATATTATTATATTTCCTTCCATGTTTATTTTCATATATTTTTTATGATTATTGCATTATTTTACATTTTCATGTTTATTTTACACATTTTCATAGAATGACCTATACCACTCCTTATTTCACATAGTTTTGATCCTCTTATCCTTACATAAATCGTTTTGATGTGTTTCGTTGACCAGCTAGTAAGTAACTTCTCAAAATGGCAGTCACTCCCTACAGCCGGTTCACACTGACTATTTACAAATATATACAATATATATATGTATATACAGTTATTAGGGGACAGGCTAAATTGAAGTCAAAACAAGCAGGGTCAGTAACAAGCACAACAGGCAATGAATCAAGAGTTACAAAATGCACACAAAACAAGAGCAACAGCAAAGAGGAAGTCTCCTTCTGACCAAGCCATCAGGGCCTCTTTAAGCAGGTGGAAGGAGATGAAACCATGGAATGGATCACAGCAGGGTCTGGGAGCGGAAAGGGTGAAGGTACGGGATGGAATCTGGAATGAATACAAAAACACACAAGACCAGGCAAAAACACAAGGCATAACAGTTGTACAGTGTTCTAATGTTTACAGACAACATTCAAGAGATGGCCATCCAGCTAAATCCTAAGTCTCTCATGTGAGTCAGTTTAGCAGCTGGTATGTTGTACCTTAAAGGGAATGAAAAATAAAAAGAAAAAACAAATCTGTAAATGTGTTGATTTACATTACATTTAGCAGCTGGTATTGATAATTTTGCTTGCAACTTCTTGACTGTACCAGGCCTATATTCTGGCTCACTCTTTCCACTTTTCTGTGGTCAGAAACGACAGACACAGCATTTATTTAAACCACTTGAGTTTGTTTTTATTCATCAGTATTCCTATCAATAAAAATAAGCATACAAAGAATAAGAAAACTTGAAAAGTAGCTGCTGCTGCGGCTGTGCTTATTTCAGCTCCAAAGAGCCTGGATAGGCAGCATGGAGAGAGCGCTTTCAGTCATACTAGTTGTCCACTTTATTGCTGATGGATACTGAAACTGTGTTCAACAAAAACATTCTGTTTTACAAAGGCAAGACAGAAATTCGAATGCCTTAAAAATGTATTAAATTGTAGCAAATTAGCGATGAATCACCTTTCGCATGAATCACACAACAATGATAGCCTACGTTTATGCATTATCCATAAAGATGAAAATACAGCAAAATAGCGATGCATGGCAGAAATAGTATATTTTGCCATCCAAAACCATTTCTATCACTTACCTAGGGCTTCCTTTCAAAGATGCAGAAGGTGTGCCCGTCCAATGCGCTTGTCTATCAGCTTCTACCCGACGTGTTATTTCAGCCAACATCTCCCTAAGAGACTCATGAATTCCTTCAAGAATTACGCAAAATGTTCTTTCAGCAGCATTTTGTTGAACATGGTTACTCATAACCACTAAGAATGTCGCAATAAAGGAAATATGATCCTCAAGTTGGCGTGATATCAACTCCAAACCGATCGTGTCATTTGGAATATGACCAGCTGTTGCAAAAAAGTTTTCCAATTCAACAAAGTATTGGAATATCTCAGCCGATGCCATTTTGTCAAGCCAAGACATTCAGAATGCGGAAATGGAATATATTCAAGTTTCATTGCATATATTCAGACTTTCATTCCATATAATCAGACTTTCATTCAATATATTCAGAGTTTCATTCTGTATATTCAGACTTTCATTCCATATATTCAGAATTTCATTCCATATACTCAGAATTTCATTCCATATATTCAGACTTTCATTCCATATATTCAGACTTTCATTCCATATATTTAGACTTTCATTCCATATATTCAGATTTTCTTTCCATATATTTAGACTTTCATTCCATATAATCAGACTTTCATTCCATATTCTCAGACTTTCATTCAATATATTCACTTTCATTCCATATAATCAGACTTTCATTCAATATTCTCAGACATTCATTCCACATTCTCAGACTTTCATTCCATATATTCAGACTTTCATTCCATATTCTCAGACTTTCATTCCATATATTCAGACTTTCATTCCATTTTCTCAGATTTTCATTCCATATATTCAGACTTTCATTCAATATATTCAGACTTTCATTCCATATATTCAGAATTTCATTCCATATTCTCAGACTTTCATTCAATATATTCAGACTTTCATTCCATTTATTCAGGCTTTCATTCAATATATTCAGACTTTCATTCCACATTCTCAGGCTTTCATTCCATATATTCAGACTTTCATTCCACTTATTCGGGCTTTCATTCAATATATTCAGATTTTCTTTCCATATATTCAGACTTTCATTCCATATTCTCAGACATTCATTCCATATTCTCAGACTTTCATTCGACATTCTCAGACTTTCATTCCATATATTCAGACTTTCATTCCATATTCTCAGACTTTCATTCCACATTCTCAGACTTTCATTCCATATATTCAGACTTTCATTCAATATATTCAGACTTTCATTGCATATTCTCAGACTTTCATTCCTTTTATTCAGGCTTCCATTCCATATATTCAGACTTTCATTCCATGTATTCAGACTTTCATTCCACATTCTCAGACTTTCATTCCATATATAAGATACATGAGAAATCCTCTCTGAACTGTATACATTTTGTAAATGGCTTTATTGTTCATTGTTGAATTTGTGCAACTTTTCACCAAGCACTGATAAACACTGTTTCACTGACCATGCTATTACAGTGTGAAACATTATAACTTTTATAGTGTGACATATTTCTTTGTAACTTACAGCCTACAATGTCCTCACCAGAGCAAACTGAAATACATGCAGTACAACTTCAATAAGATTAACTGAATATGTAGCCATATGTAGCCATGTACCCATAAAATGTATTTGATGCATTGTCTTACTAAATTGTGCCCAGCCATATTTCAAAAATATAAGTAAAAATGATAAAAACATACATAGTGAATCAGATTTCATACTCTGTCATCTTTTACATTTACATTATGAACAGTAAACTCAAGAGTTGAGAGTAAGACCACATTTTAAAGCAGAGAGTTCATAGTGACTTGCCATGTGGTCACCACAGCTAATCCACATTCACACCAACATCTTACACAAAAAAAAAAATGGCTCAAAAATGTACAGTAACAGACAAAGTTGTGTCTTAATGGGGCAAGATTCCCAAAATTAGTTTTATATGTTTATGTGGATAAGGACTCACCTATTAAATGCTAGTTTTAGGCCAGAATGCCCAGTTAACCATGATTAAGCTGTCCATTTTCATGTTTGACTGTTGCATTCAGAGAACCTTTGATGTGGTCAGTCTATTTATACACTGTGAATGCAGATGTAGGTGTAGATGTAGGTGTAGATGTTGTGTTTGTTGGAGAAGGACTACTTGTGAATGTTTTCATACATCTGTAGGAAAGTTTGGTTGTGGAACTGTGACACATCAGGGCTTTCCTCACATGCCCTCTGAACTCATCTGAGACAAAGTAATACACAAATGGGTCCAGGCAGCTGTTCAGGCTGCCCAGACACAGAGCAACCATGTAGAAACTATAGACATCGTTCTGAAGCCCTGCACCCAGCAGAGAGTAATGCACCATTAGCATGATGTTACTGGGAGTGAAGCAGACCAGGAACATCACCAGCACAGTTATCATGAGAATTATAGCCTTCCTTTTCTTGTTACTGCAGCTGGTGTCTGACGTGGACCTACTAAGGGAGTTAAAGGTCAGCAGGTATGCTACTATACAGACCACACATGGGACTACATATCCCAAAATGCCCATGGTCAAGAAACATTTAATAGGGAAATGTGTTTGATTGTGGCGAGTGATGTCGTGGCAGGTGGTTGTGTTGAGATTGTTGACTTTAACCGTCTGGTCATACAGGTATAGCGGTGCAGTGATGAGCCAGACCACAATCCACACACAAACACATACACACACTGTTACACGGTTATTCAGTTTCTGAGAAAGTGGGTGCACAATCATCCAGTAGCGCTGGACACTGATGCATGCTATGAAGATAGTGGAGCAGTACATATTCCCATAGAAAAACCCCACTAGGACTTTACACAGTGGCTCCCCGAAGGTCCAGTCATTGCCATTGAAGTGGTAGGTGATCTTCAGTGGGAGCGACATGATGAAGAGCAGGTCAGCCAGTGCTAGATTGGCCATTAGGATGGATGCTGGATACTTCTTCTTCGTCCTGAAGAAGAACACCCAAAGGGCCATGGCATTGGTGGGCAACCCTGCAACGAAGATGAAGATGTAAACAAGAGGGAGGAAGACTGTGGTCTGGCTGCTGTGAAGAATTCTCCTGGAATTGTTGGTCACAGTCACACCGTCTCCAGTCTCATTTTCTATAGGAAGTACAGCAAAATGAACTCCAGTGGAACTGTCTGTAGTGAGAGAGAGAGAGAAGGTTGTGGTTTAGTGGACGGCTGTGTTTTTCTGTGATTACATTTGATGTATGATGGCAACACCAGGCTCCCCTATGGTAATTAGTTGAAGTATTTGAAACATAAAGAATAAAAACAAAAGTTTCCATGATCTCAGTAGAGCACCATTTACAGAGCAGAGGGAGTCTTAATGCAGGCCTTTAATATATTTTGTCATACCCACTCTATGTAAGTCTCAAGGCTGTTTAAGTCCTAGTTTAGACCTCTTAAAAAATTTGCAAAACAAAATAAGCAGTAATCAAAACCTCATTTAGGAATCATGGAAATTAAATTACATTATGTATGAATAACAGCATATAAGATAATTACTGAATGACTGTTTGTTGCATCTTTTTAATAAGCTGGTCTAACAAGTTAATCTTGACTTTACCGACCGAAGATATATGTTTTTAAATAGAAACAACAGAAACAAAAGTAATTTGGTGTTTAGTATGTACTCTACTGTGCTGTGTGTGAAAGGGAGTCCGATTCTGTGGTCAAAATCCGGTAAAACAGCTTTTGTCCAAAATGACTACCTGCTGTGTTCAGCTACACAGTGAACTACTTTTTATGTGTATAGTTTTCAGCATGTAGAGAGGAATTTTCAGGATGTGTTCGGTGACTATTGACCTCTATTGTTTGCCATCACTGTTAGCCTCATACCTCCTTTTCATTAAACATAATGAATACAATTTGGACTGTAAACACGATGGACTACGTCTAGTGTAAGAGGTAAATTTATGTAAATGTGATTTTTTTTTACTGAACCAATCTTTTGAAATAACCATTTTCTTTTTTAGTTGAACCTTGTCTTGCTCTGTGGTTCTTCATCCTGATTCTGGTCCTCTTGCTCCCAGCACTCCTGATACAACTAAAGAACTAATTAAGAAGCACTTCCTGGGGTGAACTGGCTTAGAAACAGGGGAAACATCACAAAATGCAGGACAGTAGTTCTCCAGAGTCGAGACTGACAACTAACAGTCTATCTTACTGACCTCTACTTGAGAAGATGATGTTTGTCAGTACAAAGTAAATGATGTAGCCTGTTATTAAATACAGGGTGTCCCAAAAAAAAATTACTAACAACATAGCCAATTCTCCCTCAAATGATCTCAAATTTTAACAACGTGTGTAAAAACTAATCAAGTTTAATTTTTAACGTTTCATGTAATGCTGTTGAAATGGCCACCATGTTCACCTGACTTGACAACTTGTGATTTTTTTCTATGGGGCTATGTGAAAGGACTGGTCTATACCCCCCTCTTCCTACAAGCCTAGAGAATTACTACTGCGCTAGAGACTGTTATGCAAGACATGCTACAGCGTGTTTGGCAGGAGCTGGACTAACGACTTGACATGTGTCGTTTCACAGGCGGTGCGCATATTGAACATTTGTGAAGTTTTGTAAAATCGGTTCTTTTTCGAATTTTCATAAATAAATTTTGTATTGTTCAACATGAAGCCTATTTAATTTTGTTTGCCTAGGACATGTAGTTACCCAGATATTCACATCTTAAATGATGTAAATTTTTTGGGACACCCTGTATTCAGTCTGTGGGGTCAACAGGGTTTTATTTCTTTTTGTAATTATTATTATACTACCTCAAACAGCAAATTTGTGCCATCATTTTTTAAAGTTAAAAAACAATGCAAAAAGCTGACATTGGCTGGCAAATTTTTGGCCTTTTATTTACAGCAATAAGAGCTGTAAAATGTGCAGAAAACAGTTTAATAGGGAATTCCATTCATTTTTTTAAATTACTGCATAATTAAATGGTTAAGATGTAAACAGAGTCATTCAGGGTGGTTTGGTGTGAAACGCTCTGTTCTAGAGAAACTTACCGAGTCAGAACTGTTCACAGTGGTGGTGATAGGAACCAGACGTCCACCTCTAAATGCTCCCTCACAGAAAGTTCTTACATGAAATGGTAATGAATTCACTGCCTGATGACTGAGACACTGTTTTATGATAGTTTTGAGACTAAAAGGAGTTTTAAACTCCATTCATGGTTGTGGGATACATGAGGCAAAATAGTCTCCAAAGAGACGTTGAAAACTGAGACGACTTGTGTAGGTTCACTGGTGGTTCTGGATAGTAAATAAAATGTCTATTTTCTTATCACCACCACTGTAAATACATCTGAACCATTTCACACCAAACCACTCTGAATCACTCTGTTTACATTTCTAACACTGTTTCATGATTTTTACATTCCCATTTCTTTCCACATTGAAGAGAAAGAGAAAGTGACTTACCATCAGACATGTTGGTGATAGAATAGTAATGTAAAGCCAACAACACTGAAGTTTTCAAGGTTAAATCCAAAGGTGTCGATGTAAAAGAGTGAGACTTTTGCTCTCTGCTTCTGTTCAGTAAAGTCTGAAGGCTGGTAGTTTCCTTTTTTCGTCTTCACTGATTTCAGGAAGCTGCGTGTGTGTTCTTTTTTCAGTCTGTGTATGCCACACCTATTCCCTCATGCCTCTTCCAGAAAAGAGAGCTTTCATGTGATTGGAATTAATCTCAAGTGAGTAGGAGAAGACAGCTAAAATAGACAGTAACATAGTAATCTCCTAAACTCCTACAGTTATCTCCTAAAGCTGATTATAGATAGTATTTGAGTGCCGTCGCAGTGGCTGCCGTCATATTACTAAAATAGTACTGGTCAGCATGGTGGTGCTCGTTTTTACACTATTAGTCAATAAAGCATACTGACCGGTGTGGCAAGAACAGAAACAAAAAAAACAAAACTGTAAAATTTTGACCACCCTTACTCATACTCCGTCTAAATGCAACTGAACTTGAAGTGGAGACTGAAAGACTGAACTAAACCTCGCCCTAACTCTAACTCTAAACCTAACCTTAACTTCAACACAAAACATGCACCTGTTCCTAAACCTATCCATAACCATGCACTGTTAGTAATAAAGGTTCTGTGCAGGTACATTTTTCATCCATCAAGGTACAAACAATGTAAATGTTCCCTCAAAGCTCCAACAGTGGTTTTAAGGTCTGAGTGTGAACCTTAAATAAGTGTTTCCAGGTGAAAAGTTCGTATTTGTACCTTTTCATAACCGAATGCTTTAAAACAGAACAGTAAAATAAAAGCCTGGAGACGAGACGGGGTGTGTGGAGTCAGTACAGCTTAGAACATATCAGTTCAGTGGATTATGGTACAGTTATGTTCCCTGACTAAAGGTACTGAGATGGACCCTTGAGGGGACCACCACAGTGAGAAGAGGGGTCCTGACCCAGTGACAGTTTACTACCTTCATTTCTGAGAGTTTAGTGTTGTTAATAGTCAACTATGAGTGTCACTAGAAAGTTTACTAATAATATTAGCATCTGTAGAACAGTGGTCACCAACCTTCCTCCTGGAGATCTTCTTTCCTGCAGAGTTTAGTTCCATCCTACACACTTACAAAGATGGTTCTTCAATGGTTCTTTAGTAAAGAAGTGGTTCTATGTAGAACCATGAGCACTCAAAAAACCCTTTGCATGACCAAAAGGTTCTTTGCATCATGAAAGGGTTATTTAGGTTGATGGAGAATGTGCTGTAGATGGTTCTATATAGACCCTTTTTGAAAAGAGTTCTTTATAGCACCAAAAACATTTCTTCTATTGTTACACTCTTAAAATCATGACAGTAGAAGCACGCTTTTTGGTGCTATATAGAACCCTTCTAGGTTCTATAGGTTTCATTTTTGCTTTCTATTCTAATTCTGTTCACTGTCAGGAAAGAAAACGTAAAAATGAATGAGATCCTCTTTTTGAGATGGTTAATACATTTATTGAATGGTCACATTTCATAGATTGTTGACAAATTCTTATTATAATTAAATTTGAAGAGTTACAAGAGTTGAATGTTCCCCAATCATGGAACTAGAAAGCCAAATGCAACATAGAGAAACATGCGACTGGCAGGAAAACTCGTACAAATACTTGCTTGAAGGAAATATGCTGACTGATGATGACTGATGTGTCATCCTAGTTTCATTATTTGCAGTGTTGCAGTTTCACTATAAACATTCATAATTGAAGTCATGTATTAAAATGAGAATAATTTGTACTGTTTTGCTAAAAATTTCAGGGTAACACGTTATTTTAAGGTCTGCTTCTTCTCTGCTTCGACTATCATACTGTTAGCAAGCCATAAATAATGTCCTACTAAAATAGCACCACATCATTTGTAAGCAAGAGGTCATCTGTACATTAGTTATCGACTGCTTATTGATTAATATTAGTTGTCATCTTTTAGTTGCAAACATTCCTTGTCTACATTTGAGATGTTAATCATGAATGTGAACATATAATGATCATCAATATGACCAGACATGGTAGTGAATGCTTACATTTCCATTGAAAGCGTACTCATATGCAGTGGTGGACAAGGTACACAAACTATGTACTAGAGTTAAAGTGGAGATACCTAAGGTAAAATATTACTCCAGTAAAAGTAGAAGTTCCTCCCTTTAGACCTCCAGTTGTACAAAAGTATTTGCCTTCAAATGTACTTAAGTATTGAAAGTGAAAGTACTAAAAGATTAATTATGACTCTGATGTCCTATTATCATTTTTATAACACGACTCTTGTTTAATGAACTAATTTTAGGTGAAAATACTCCAGTGTCACTCTTGGTAAACCAGTCTTTTAATAGAATGTCATTAATTAGTGACGCTGATGCCTATTAAAATTACCATAAGCACAAAACACTGAACGCAAACAATTTCCATTAGGTAGAACCAAGAGGCTCTGAAATAACTTTTAAAGTTTTGATTTAAGATTTATTCGCAACTTACTTGCAAATTTCAGTTCACAAATGAGTTTTCCTTTACTGCCAAGAACAATGTCAAATCAGTTGACTAATGCTTTGATGTGTGATTGTCAGTGTTTGCATTAACCCCGACCCTGCTTTACCTGCTAATGTGACCTAAGCATAGTGTGGATACGTCAAAACCAGTTGCATAACATGTCATCACAAGTATTAAAACAACAAGCCTGAAATGGAAGAGAACAGTGATGGCAGTAAATATCATTAGATCTAAATAAATGATCTAACTACAGCTATAATATCTTTTATTCAGCTTGAGGAGGAGCTGGTTCTCGAAGTTGTTTGAGTCCATTCTTGCCCTCCTGGGACTGAAAATATGTCCTGCTGTGCTGAAAAGATGTTCACAAGCAGCAGAAGCAGGTAAAGCAGTATTGACCTTCAAAGACAAGTTGCAGATTGCTGGGAAGGATTCAAAATTTCTTTGTCATCAACTTCGCAGGCAAGGTAGCCATCTAACTGCTTGATACCTTCCTGACCATGAGTGGGCTTCATGCTTGCAAAAAAGTCCTCGTTGTCAGAGGCACTGGAACCATCAACTGGTGACGTAGCCTCTTCCTCCAGATGGTCCTTGATGTAGTCCAGATACTGAGAATCAATCGAACTTCACTGTGATCACACAGTTTCTCCAAATTGAAAAATTAAAAGAACAGTATTGCCCCGTGTATTTCCAAGGTGCATTTAAAACTAACCTAAACAGATTTATATGAATGACATGATAAAATAATTTAAGTTGAATATCTTGTAAAATATTGCTAATGCAGTTTTGGGTTGTAGTGTATTACCATTAGCCTACTTAGCTAGCTAACTATCTAACAATGCATACAATGTTTATGGTAATGCCAGACTTATTTTAACAAGATACATGAAGAAACCATTTTCTGCAAACTACTGTTAGGTTACTCATCAGAGAATGACCAGAATGAAAATAGCTTACCTTTTTGTGTTTCCTTAGATTGGGATGGGGAATTTTTGTAAGAAGAAATCTTATGGGGCTGAGGCTGGCAGAGAAGGCACTTGAAAATGAACGACTCCTTTTCTTTTCAACTACTTCAAAAAACTCGCTCAAATAAGGCCAAGGGTGTTGTGGCAGGTTAGAGTCAGGAGTTTCTTCCATCATTTATTTTGGCATAGGCAGCGCCAAACTTTTACGCTGCTGCACTGATGTTCAACTCTACGCTTGCACTGGGTCAGTATGTCCAACAGGTCAAAACAAGCTGAAGACGAAGCATTTTGCAAAGGGGACGTTTTTGATTATTTCGTACACTCAAATGGCATTTTTGAGTTAAATTAACTTATTGCTATTTAGTTTAGTCTGTTGCCATGGCAGCTTTGAAACCCCACATTCCAAAAAATCAGGACATTTCGGTGGGTTTTAATCATTTCTTTCGCATTAAAGTTCCTGAACAAATTTGTGAAACTGAGTGAAACTAAGTAGGCTGTAAAATACAGTTACATGTTTGTTTTGTTAACATGATCTTATTGGATAAACTGTATTTCTTTCCCATTGGCTCCTGGCTCCATCTATTTGCATACTGGATGTTTCTTTCCATTACTTTTACTTACCATCAGTGTGCTTTCATTCCACCCAGGATGCCTGCCCTCAGGCGAATCCTTCTCATATATGCTTTACTCAGCTGCCTGACTTTGTGTTGTTGGCTAAGAGTGAAGGTTATCGTTCTCCTTGCTGATCAGTGGGGGTTTGTGTTGGTCAGTGACCACGTTCACGCTAAAAGTTAAGGCAAAGTGGTGGATAACTCTTAAATAGAAAAAAAAAAATCTTAATTGCCTAATGAAACATATAATTAAATCGCAATTTCAAAACGTTAAATTAAAATAATTCAAATTTACGAATTGCACAAACATGTGCTTATGTTAACCTAACACAAAAATTATGGTCATTCTAACTCAAGTTTTCGTTACAAATTACTTTATGGTTTTCTCAATTTTTTAAGTAAATCCAACTCATCTGGGCTTACAATGTACGTTATGTGTTCTGAATGTTTGTATGTCCTGTTAATCAGTACTCATAAATAACTGACCACTAATATTACAGTGATTAGTAGAGCAATGTGTATGAAAGTGTCATGTTAAATTGCTCAGGCCTGTAAGAAATACAGAGGGTATTTAAAAGCAAGATGAGTGAGCTGAAGAGCGGAGAGTACCTGAAGAATGTATTCCTTTGAACAACATTGCCCAAACAAGATATATACATATAACATATAACTTACTCAGTGTAAATGGCCTAAAGCTACGCATATGATCTGTATGATGGGTAAAGGAGGAGCTTATGATTCCTTAAAGACAGTCTGCAAATGATACAACACATTTAAAAGATCTTTGTTCATATATCTGTGAGACCAAAACTAAAATTAAACTTGTTTATTCTTAATAATCAATACCTTACTGTTCGTAAAGGCTCACAAATGATCTGGAAACAGCTTCCAAAGACACAGTTACATTTAAAAGATCTTTATTAATGAATGTGAAAGACCAAAACTAAAGTAGAACTTACTGTTCATAACCGTCATCTTAGTAATGAAACCAAATAATATTTCTGGGTTATTAACTGTTAAAAATGTAAAACATTACAGTAAACTGAGGAAACTTTACAGCACGTGTTTAATTTACAGGCGTGTTTAATGAGGCAGTGTGCTGAAGTCTGCAGTGCTTTGGCCCACGAGGACTGGAGTCTGACACATGTGATGTATAATACACAAATTCACCCTCTCTGTTTTTTTTAATAAAGCAGTAATGGGCAGTTAAAGAGCATCATGGTAAGGCTTAATAAAGGCATAATACTACTGCTACTACTACTGCTACTACTACTACTACTTTTACTACTACTACTACTAATAATAATAATAATAATAATGATAATAATAATAATAAGAAGAAGAAGAAGAAGAAGAAAAAGAAGAAGAAGAAGAAGAAACTGGAAAACATTGCTCAAAGGTTCATGTTAATATCCTCTTGAAAATGTACTATTTACAGTTGTTACTGCTTAATAAAGTAGCAATGAGCTTGTTTTGTCCAGTGTTTTTGCAAATGTTTTGCAAAATTGATGAAAATAGAATTAAGTATGATAATGGATTAATTTGAAAGCAGTTAAAATATGTATTGATGAAAATATATGAAAGGTATAACCCACAGTGATAAAAGTGCCCACAAATATAGATCAGTCCTGATATCAGTCTCTTCAAAAAAATCAATAAAACTATTCTAACAGAGTCATTTTAATCCAGTACATTGTGACTAATTTGCATAAAGTGCTGTTGAGTAAAACACTAATATCTGCACACCAGCATGTCAAGGCAGGAGTCAGGCTTAGTTAGCATAGCACACAATTATCTGTCATTTCCACCCTCCACAGGGAACAGTGGTTCTGTACTTGTGACTCAAAGAGAGCTGGTAAGAGGAGAATGATCTAAAAAACACTTTAAAACCTAAGACCCCTAAATCAATGTTGCCGTTTGAATCTTCATAACATGTTTTCTAGAGAATTAATTTCTTAGACAAAATGTATAGAGCACTTTAAACAAAAGGAAGGACAGTAATAATGTGTTGAAGGCAGAAGAAAGTTAAATAAATGGGAGCACTTTACAAATCGATAATATGTGAGTAATAATATAGTAGTTATATGGTAATAATATGGTAACAAGTTATAGTTACTAGAATTTTCATCTAATTTTCAAGTTGTTTCTAAATATTAAGCTTGTACTTGTAATTATATATGGCACCTGACCATTTGAAGGCTAATACTAGGTAGGAAACCAATTAGAAACAATGAACAACAGCACTAATAACAGCATCATTTAGGGACTAACAAGAAGAACATTACAGAAGCTGAAAGCAGCCTGTTCTTTACACATAGTAAATCCCTGCAACAGAGTTAGTGAAAGGAAAACAGCTGCTGTAAATTCAGAATGCATCCTTAATCACTGAGGTAATCCAGTTTTATAACTGGAGCTAAGTGTAGGTTAACGAGTGACTGTGAGTAAACAGATAACGTGTACATAGCAGTAAAAGTTTGCTGTATGATGGTTCTGAAGAGTGTCCTGAATCCGATGGTGACTCAGGTTTCTTTTTGGTAAAATGCTGTTCAGTGTAAGAGGAGCCTTTGAAGGCAGTGATGTAGGCAGCCGCCTCCAGAATGGAACATACTGACAGTGGCTGTTTGTTTCATTCAATTTAAAAGCTCAAAAGGGAGCCGGTGTTGTGTAATTAAGGTGTGGTTTAGACTTTTTCATTGAAGTGCTTTGTGGTATGTCTGGTATGGCATGCTTAGGTATGTGGATTGAGCTTGTACCCCAGTGCTGCCACCTACATGTACAGCAAATCACCAAAATCCCATTTAGGAAATCTGCTGTCTTCCAACCAACATACAGTGCATCTCTATAATGCATCCAGTGCATGTAGCATTTTTTGCAACTTGGAGCTTGTACAACCTCATTTCCAAAAAAGTTGGGACACTGTGGAAAATGTAAATAAAAACAAAATGCAATGATGTGCAAATCATTTAAACCCCATATTTCATTGAAAAAGCAATCAAATGTTTAAACTGAGAAATTTTATTGTTTTCATATATATTCTATATATTTTTAAAAAAACAATAGAATTTCTCACTTCCAACATTTGATATGTCGTCTTTGTACCATTCTCAATGAAATATAGGGTTTACATGATTTGCACATCATTGCATTTTGTTTTTATTTACATTTTGCACAGCATCCCATCTTTTTCGGAAATGGGGTTGTACAAAATGTTGGGGGTTTACAGTGTTCTGCAGTGTGAGCAAAATGCTTCTTTTTTGAAAAATGTGACCAGAATTTTGATTGTCTACAAATTCATTATACATATTTGTTATGCAAGAACACAAAGGTGCAGACTTTCTGCATCCCACTGGTCTTGAATGCTACTATATTTACAAAGCGAGATGAGGAAATATTCTATTGGTTTATCACACATTACAAGAAGCCATCACAATAAACCTGCTAAATAACTGACCTGCACAGCTGTTAACAGTGATGGCCCTGGACGTTTTTACCAGGGGTGACAGGGAGTTGGCAGAGTGGCAGTGTTAAAGTGTTTATGATATAGTATGTGGTGTATAATATTATACATTGACATGGCAAAAGTCATGGGACAGGAACTAGTATCATGTAGGACACCCTCTAGCCTGGCAAAGTGCAACAACTCGACATGGCATCGATTTCACAAGTGGACAGAAGACGTCTAGAAGGATGTTGAGCCACACTGTCTGGATAGCCACCCATGACACTGTGGTATTTGTAGGATCTCTGATGCGAATGGACCTCCCATAAATGCTTGACTGGGGCAAACATGCAGGCCACATCATTGGTCAGAACTCTCCAGTGGGTCTTCTGCTCCCATGTGCCATGGAAGCTAAAGAATGCTGCAGTGACCTGCATTGAATGTGGATGTGATTTTGGCCAGAGTCACTCATATGTTCGCACAGACAATTCTAGCCAGACGGCGCTGGTCATGATCTCATGGGCGGCCACTATGTTGTCCACTGTAGGTAATAGTGCTTTATATGATAGTACAAAAGTGGCACTGTGGATCAAGGAGTGTTAAATGCCTGCACAACTTCGGAAAGGGACTTTCCCATCCATCTGGCACCCAGTACCATGCCTCGTTCAAACTGATAATCCACGTTGCCATGCCATAAGCACGCTGACCAGTGTTCAACCTCATTCACATGATTACACCTCACAACTTAAACATGTTGTCTCCTTCAAAATCAGTTCACACACTGCTCTCCCATGACTCTTGGCATGTCAGTGTATTCTGGAGTATATGAATATGGAGTACTTTCGAAAGTTCTTGGAGAACAGTAATGATACCAGTGGAAACTGGATGGTGCAGGTACACTTCTACAGGTGCTATTTTCTAAGGTGAAGCTGTAGAAGATTCTGTGGAGAGCTTCAATGGTCGAAAGGCCACCTTCATCCTCTTAGCTGAACGCGTACTGTGACACATCAGCGAGTTCTTCACATGATCTCTGAACTCCTCTGAGATAAAATAATACACAAATGGGTCCAGGCAGCTGTTGAGACTGGACAGGCACAGTGTGATGATGTACAAGCCATGAGTGTTGTTCTCAATCCCTCTGGCCAAAAGAGAGAAATGCACCATCAGTGTGATGTTATTGGGAGTGAAGCACACCAGAAACATCACCAGCACAGTGATCATGAAGATGACAGCCTTCCTTTTCTGCTTGTTGCTCATGGCATTCGTAAAAGAGCTCTTGAGGGACTTCAATATTAGCAAATATGCCACTGTGCACACCACACAGGGAACTACATACCCCACAATGCCCATAGTGAGGAAATATCCAATGGGAAAATCTAACTGGTTTCGGTAAATGACATCGTGGCAGGTGGTTGTCAGATTGCTGACTTTAACAGTCTGCTGATACATGTAGAGTGGTGTGGTGATGAGCCAGACTACAATCCACACACAAACAGAGACACAGACTGTTAAACAGCTGTTTGGTTTTTTTCTAGAAAGTGGGTGGACAATCCCCCAGTAGCGCAGCACACTGATGCATGCTATGAAGATAGTGGAGCAGTACATATTCCCATAGAAAAACCCCACTAGGACTTTACACAGTGGCTCCCCGAAGGTCCAGTCATTGCCGTTGAAGTGGTAGGTGATCTTCAGTGGGAGCCACACGATGAAGAGCAGGTCAGCCAGTGCTAGATTGGCCATTAGGATGGACGCTGGATGCTTCTTCTTCGTCTTGAAGAGGAACACAAAGACGGCCATGGTGTTGGTGGGCAACCCCACAATGAAGACGAAGATGTAAACGAGAGGGAGGAAGACTGTGGTGAGGTTTCCTTTTAGTGAAGGCATGTCATCACTTTTTGGTAAACTCATGTTAGTGCAGTTCACCTCATGATGTAAACTGGAGGGTGGAATATCAAGAACAATTATATTTTCAGGCGGCTCTTCATTTGTAGCATTTGTTTTGCATAATGCTTCCCAGAAGATAGACTCCATCTCTATTAAAAGAGAAATGATTATACTTTAAATTTTGTCAAACAAATAAACCAATGACTTTTGCACAGTACTGTACATGTAGAGATTATGATACATACATTGAACATCTAAACAATAATAACAAAAAAATGCATGGAACACATACAGTCGGTAAACTAAGCAATAATAATAGCAATTAAGTTTAGAAGAATAAGAAATAAAAAAAAACAGCAATGATGGTAATAATCATAATAATGATTATTCATAATAAAATAATAATATTATTATTCATAATAATCATAATAAAAGATGAGTAAATATCTCCTTAATTACTTCTATCAGATGAAAGCATTACAGTTTTGCCAAAGTCAGATTTTGTGCATGTATCGAATTATTTTGTACTTGTGAACATTCTCATTGTGATTGAAAAACAAAGCAAATAATACTAATACTACTACTACTACTACTACTAATAATAATAATAATAATAATAATAATAATAATAAATGCTTCCAATGTACCTCAAATGCATACTGAATGAAGTTATACAGAAAGAAATAGTGAAATAAACAAAGTAAACAAATAAAAGATTAACTGAATAAATGTAGGAATTAATAATAAATCAGTAGCATTTATTTATTTAATCATTTATTTAGATTCGAGTTTTACCTTCTATAACTTTGCAGAAAATGCTACAGTGAACACATACTTAGCGTAACCCCTCCCCTAAATACTAAAAAAAAGTGCTCTGAGGTGTCAATTGCACATTAAATGTGTCAATCAGATGCACATTAATAAGATTACATCAACACAAATCTTCCTAGAAGAAGAAAAGTAAAACACTGCAGTTGTTCTGATGCAATAGGTCGTATTGTTGTGCAAAGCATTTGAATCAAAGCACCACTTTCTCCCGTTTAATACTGCAGTGGAAATGTAGCTTACCTTCCAATGCGCAGTTAATGTTAAACAAGTCAGTCTCATTCCAGTCCATGTCTGCTGTGAGGTTAAATCCAGTAATCCTGATAAATCAGTGTGTATTCTGTTTTGCTGTGTGTTGTAGAGCTGCTGAACACCAAGACTGTTTTCTTACTCTAGCATGAGAGGATCCCCTCTCTGTCCTACTTATTGTCCATCTGTTTCTTCTGCCTTCAGGGTTTTTGAAAAGCTGCTTGTTTAGACCTGCTTCGAACATCCACACCTCTCTATATGAGTGGTACAAATTTTTTTTTTTGACATTTTTAATGGGAGGTGCTCGTCTTAATGATAAAATAAAATAAAAATCAGTTCTAGTAGAGTGAAAAAATGGTAAATGGAGATCTGATAAAGGAAGAAAATCTTCCTATGAGGCCATATATGCACATATATCATAAGGTTCAAGCACTTATTTAAAATATATGCACATATATTGTGTTACCTACACTGTAAGTATCAAGTATTGACATATATGCAAAATATATTGATCATACATTTACTATGTTTAGGGGTTAAAACAGGAAATAAGTAAAATATTGTTCCCTGAAATATTTAAAGTCCAAGTCTTATTACATACTAAGCCTTTTTGTGAATAGATCACCAGAGCTTGAACACTGGAGGTGCTTATTTTAATGGTAAAATAAAAAAATAGGGTGAAAAAATAAAAAGTTAAATGGTGATTTAATTAATAAGAAAGTCACAGCACACTGAGGACTAACAACCAGAGGCAGCACACCATGTTCGGTTCTTCATGTTTAAAGCTGCTGTCAGTAAATTAGCAAATCTACTGTACTTCAGTTGTTCTACACCAACACCAGCTACTCAAACTGTAGACCAGGGATGCACAGCTCTGGTCTTGGAGGGCAGGTGTCCCGCACAGTTTGGTAGTTGCCCTACTCAAACACGGGTTCCACACCCAGCCTGCAATATTAAATACATGTATATACTGAGTACTTAGCTAACATGATAAACAATAACATCACTCTACAATAGTAAATGTAGCAACACATTTCTGATATTTACCTCATATTACCATCATACAGCCAACCACATATAATGTATGTGAAGTTACCTGGGAAAATTATGACTGCAGACAGAATTCATTGAGGATTAACAAAATAATACTACATTCTTAAAAACAGTTTTACTTTCAAAAAAACAGTGATTTTATTCTGTTTTCCAATACTTCTATTTAAGCAACAGAGCCCAAGAGTCACCATAGATCATCACAGCCATGATGTTATCCATGATAACACACTCCCTCTCGTGTTCTATTACTTTAATACAACAGTTAATATATATTTCATTTATATTATATTATATATAAATTTAGTTAATACAATAAAGTAAGAAATTAATAAACTGGGCCATGAACGTGGCATTTATTATGTTTTGATGTTCGCAGTTCCTTCCGCCATATTATAGTTCCTTAACAAGCAGCTTGTTGCTGCATCACAGTAACAAACTCCACCCACTCGCTGCACTGTCTGCTGTAAGCCTCAGCTTTTGAAGTACAGACTGAGCCATAAAACTGCCACAATATCAAGTTCAGCTCAGTTTTGTCAATTTTTGCCAGATCAGTATTAATGTTGTTTTGTTCCAGCCAGTCTGTAAAGCATCGTACAGCCCATTTAGTTTGGCAAATGGTATTGGGTTCATTTCTGGCTGATTCCAGGTTGTTTAGCTGTTCTTCCATCACAGCTGCCGACTGAAAAGCTGCTCAGTGGTGATGACAGTTTGGGAATTTAGTGTCTTCAGAGTCTGAGCAAATCAGCTGTCGGTCAAATGTGATCTTAAAAGTATTCAGTTTCTGTTTGTGGCAAAGTAAGAAGTAAAAATGTTCAAATGTCTTGAGCGTCTCCTACAGCTGTCAGAGTCGTTGCTTAGCAACAGCGTCTCAGCGGAGTGATAGTGTTTGTGAAAAAATGCTTCTCAACCAATCAGTTTGTGTGGCCGAAACGAACTGTTGTATAAATTTAAAATATTCTATGTTTTGTTCTTTGTCCTATTTCTATCATAAAATTCTCAGTGACAGGAATGTTACAGTAATCCACATAGAGCACAATGTCTAACCAAAAATACTCTAAGAGATTTATTTGGGTACTTTTAAATCTATCCCTCATGTTGAAAGCCAATTTTAGCTGCTTCCTTAAGCAAAACAATTAAGATTATTGTTAAGGCTCTGAGCAGCATCACTCGGCTGTGAGATATGTTGTTTACTGGGTGCGGTGTCAGATCGTAACTGATGGTAACTGCACTGATGGCAAATTTTCACCCTAAAGTTGTTCACACAAAGTAGCAGCACTTTTCTGTGGTGACTGATGATGGCTCTCATTTTGTTTAAATGGGGTGGCCATGCTTCATGGGAGGGTGGCACTGACCACCCCTCAGTTATGACCCTGCTTAACTGTGTGACATTGTGATGTGAAAGAGAAGAGCTGAGCCTTACTTAAAGTCAAAGTCTGCTCTCATCAGTCTGTCACAGGTAGACAGTTAAGTGAAGAATGAATTCTGTAGGTTTAATCAGTTTTGAGTGTTGAGAGTTTTTCAAGATAGACATTGATTGCTGATTAACTTATGCAGTCTAACGGTTCACGTCTAGATCTCTTATGCTTTGGTTACACAATAAATGCAGTTAACATTAGCTAGCAGGGTTCATGTCAGATTAAGCTAACGTCAAGCTAACATTGATTAACTCCGTCAAACATAAGCTCCTCAGACAAAAAAAAATTGTCACCTTGTGTGTTCAAGGCGGTAGTAACTTCAGGCTCCTGCAGATGGCCTTGCACAAGAATGATCAGGCTATAAATACCTGCGGGATGTGTGATGGGATTCATAGATTGAGAAGAGGTGGTACAGTGCAGTGAATGTCTTGTTTGATGTGTGAAAAATGGGTCGCAAAGCAGATGTTAATGATTGGCTAAAAGGAGTGACTGCATTTGGGCAGCCAAAGGCCACAGTTAAAAGAAGTAGCTACATTTTCAGGTGTATCAAAGCGTATGGTCATATGGGTCGACCAGCATTAAAAAAAAAAATCCCAGTCTACAGGAAATTCTCCTCAGAATTGTGGCCAAAAAACAAAACTAATGGACAGGGACCGCCGGTGTGTTTCACAGGTTGTGAAAAAAAATAGCTTTGCTTCCAGGCAAGAATTCCTTTTAGAAGTCAATGTGGTTCTGCACAACCAATTTCTGAAAGAACGCTCCACAGGGACCTGCATACCATGAACATACGGCATGCAAAAATTTACCAGTTACAAAAACTGGACTGTTTATGACTGGAAATGTGTTTTCTGGTCAGATAAATCTGGTTTCTGCCTGTATGTGAATGATGCCTGGTGCCATGTTCATCATGGACCTCAGGAAACCTTTAATGAGGACTGCATGCAAGCTGTAGTTCAAGCTGGAGGAGCTCTGTGCTGATCTGGATTGTTTTAATTATCCAGAAATGGGTCCTTTGGTTAAGGTGACACTAAATTTGAACCACAGTGCCAACATTGAGCTGCTGGACAATCGGGTGTCCAGTCCAGCCCCAATCTAATCACAGCTATTATTCATACTCATGGACGTTTTACATGACATTAGGTACGTTTCAGTCATAGGTAACTAATGTTTTGTCCAGTGGGCTTAGTCACGCAGCTGTCACAAATTTTTACATCATCCCGGTGTTTGATGGTGGCATTCTCTCATCCCATCCCACCTTGGCCCATGCCCTCATCCTCGTCCTCACTCTCCCCTGTAGAGCTCTGGGAATGTCTCACTTTGAAAGAAACAAAGGAGTTAACGTCTTGTGAGCAAAGCATTCAGTTTATTGCACAATACACACAGCGTTTCTAGGAAATGTTACATGAACGCCTTATCACACAGCATTCCTTACGAGATAAGAAAAAATAAGTTTCAAGGGAGCAAGCAGTTTGAATCATTCTGATTCTGCTTG